AACCTCCGCCTCCTGGGTTCAGGCAATTCTCCTGCCTCAGCCTCCTGAGTAGCTGGGACTACAGGCACGCGCCACCATGCCCAGCTAATTTTTTTGTATTTTTAGTAGAGACGGGGTTTCACCATGTTGACCAGGATGGTCTCGATCTCCTGACCTCGTGATCCACCCGCCTCGGCCTCCCAAAGTGCTGGGATTACAGGCTTGAGCCACCGCGCCCGGCCGGAACATGATGACTTTGAAGGGGTACGTGTTGGTGAAACGTGTAAGAATATGGGATATTTCGACTCTGATGTTTTGGACCTACGGGACATTGACCTCAAGGATATTTTGACTCTATAAATACAAATATTTTATTCAAATTTGTACTAACATTCAAAAAGACCATTCAAGAAGATATTTTATGAAATCATCTCTATGCAGACAGTGTAATTTCTTGATCAGTTTTCTACGGTAGATCAATTAAACTGTTAGCAAACCTTTCATTTTTAATGAAAATTATTTTATTGGAACAAATTGTTTTTATTTCCATTTTATGACAACCCAAACCTGTTTTTGTCTGTAACAAATATTGTCAATTATAGCTTCTATCAGCTTAGAATTTCTCTCATGTCCACTATTTCCATTCAATTTACCCAGGTCAAATTTTATAGATCAAAACTTTGTCCAGATTTCATTATTCTCTCTGTTCTGAGTGAGTAATACATGTGATGTGTGTATGCTGTCAGTTTTACCTGTTACTGACCATCTTTGCCAGGAATTAGGTAAAAGATGAAGCAAACACAAATACACAGGCTCTGGTGCATGGCAATGGTCAGAACATTGCAGTCAAAGTGTCTTTGGGGTCACAAGATTGGTCTTCTTGGTTCCATCATTTTATAGGCGTCAAACCAAGGTGAGCACTGGTTTTATCCAAAGTGTGACATTAGGTAAAACAGGGGCTGGTCTCTGGCTCACCTAGAGACTTCAGAAAAGTCCCCTAATGTCTCTGCCTGTGCCTTAGTCTCATCGGGGAATGGGGAAAGGAAGGGGAGAAGCTGTACATGTCATGGACACTCCAAAAGCCACCTCACCCAAGTCTAGTGAGGATTCTTGAGGAAGTAAGAAGCAGAGTGGTTTGCAGAGATGCAGGAAGAAGGTATTTCCAAAGCTCTTCAAAATGAAGATGCTAGTTCTGAACTCTCTCTTGAAGGAAATGCAGAAAGATATGGATGAGAAGATGGACATTTTAATAAATACACAGAAGAACACTAAGCTGTAAGTGTAACCGGTACCTGTCTCTCCTCATCCCTGAAGCATCTCCTCCCTTCCCTTTGCTGAATGGCTTTGGGGTTTGGAGGATACCCAGACTCTTGAAGTTGTTTTGGCTCCTACCGCCCCCAGGAGTCAGGGCCTTCCGTGGCGACTCGTGTACTGGTTATTTCCTTGTCATGTTGGAAAATGTCTCCCCAACTTTCTGCCCTCCCTGGCCCTCCTCCCCACGTCCCCTTAGAAGAGGGCCAAAAGAGCAGCAGGAACTGAGGCTGATGGCAAAGACTCACAGAGACCCACAGCTCAGGCTCCAGAAAGTGGACGGAGCCGGTGGAGCCAATGGAGCACCCTTTGCCCTTCACAAGAAGACGGTGGCACCTCAGAAAGCAAAACCGGGCTCCCTGGATCCCCTGCATCAGTGTGGGACCTGCTGCGTAAGTGAGGCCCTGCCCAAGCCCAGCACTGGGGCCAGACCCCTGGCTCCTTCTCCCTGGTGACTTCCCAGAGCTTGTGCCGTTATCATAGTGAAGGGACAGGTCCGTGCCCTGCTGACCTCTGGACGCCACCCAAGCCTGGACCCTCCCTGGCCTCCCTTGCCTTCTAGGCCTGTGGAGCCTCCTTAACCGTGACCATGCAGGACTTGACCTTGGAGGCGCCTGCCCCCCAGCTCCACCCTCTTATTCTGTCCTTCCCTGCAGCAAGGTCAGATGAGGTGCCTAGCAGGCTGCCCTTGACCAGGGGAAATTGATCTTTCTTGTGCCGTTTCTGTCCTCTGCAGGAGACATGTTTGTTGTGTGTCCTAAAGAACAACTACAATCAGGGGTAGGTAGCTCCATACAAGATGTGCCTTGTCTCAGTTGGGCGCCTTGTTGTCCCCAGGGGCATGTGCTCCAGCCGCATTCACATCACACCCCTCCTGAGGTTGTGCAGGGAGTAGGGACTGTTAGCAGACACTGCCACCCAGCACAGCCACTTGGGCGTAGAGGACATGGCACCAGGAAGGAGGATTTGGGTCGCCCAGCCTAGAGGCAGCTGCCCGGGGCTCCCACGGTGGGGAGGGTGTGCCATCAGCGGCGGAACTGACCTTGCCTCAGGTCCTGCCCTTTCTCCCCATCCAGCGGGAAATACTCACACCAGGTCTGGGCACCCTTTTCACCCTTGGCTTCTGGAGCTGCCTTCTGATTTATCTGTACCTCAGCCCCGCTGACATCGAATATGTGCTTCCAACCTAGTGCAGCCGCAGAGGCACTCAGCAGTTCCGGTTCCTCACCTACCCCTCCTGAAGCTGCGTAGTCAGGGCTTTTGTCCTCTGAAACACCACGCCTACCCCAGGCCTCCACTGGAGATTAAAAACCTTCATTGAAAGCCAAAGGGGCTGTCATAGTTTTGAGTACCAGTCTAAAACTTGAGTGTGTGGAGGTCACTTCTTTTTGGTTCTATAACAGTGTACTTCAGACTCCAGCCCCTCCCCCTGCTTCCTGATCACTGGTGGGAAATTCCATCTTAGTCATTTTAGGGTCCTCCCAAACACCACCTTCCTCCATTCCACGTGGGTCTGCAAAGGTCCCAGGTCCAAGCATGGGGAGGGCCCCTGATGGCAGCGGACGTCAGTCTGTATGGTCTCAGGAGAGACCTCGCTTCCTGGCCCGCCTGCTCCCTCCATGTAATCAGCTCTCACCTGTGCATGGGGCCCAGGTGTCTTGGGTGACACAGGGAACCCCTGGGCCGCGAGTCCTGCCTGCCCCCCTCCCCTGAGCTCTTGTCACCAAGCAGGACTCAGGCCCTGCTGCTCATAGGAACTGGGTGGCTTTCTTGGGTTATGGGGATCCATCCTTCTTGTCCCCTTGAAGGTTTCTTCTCCCTCCCTCCACCCCCAAAGGGAACATTCCTTCAGAGGCCTCAGGTTTTTACAAAGGTGGAGACGAGCCAGTGACCACCCAACCTCCTGTGGGCCATGCTGTGCCTGCCCCAAAGTCCCAGACTGAGGGAAGGTGAAGCTTGACTGTCAGCTTGAACGACAGTTAAGAAGATAACAGAGCAGCGTTCCACAAACTGTCCTGCCCTGGGTGTGATTCTTTGGCTTCAATTTGAAGGAGGAGTAATTCATACAAGTTCATATTTTATTTCACACCAGTTCCTTCTTATTTCATCTCTTTGCTAAGCTGGCTGCTTCTACAGTCTAATAAATAATTGGCCAAGTTCTCTTTTTTGGAATTTCATTTTATGTTTAATTTTGTGGGTAGGTGTTATGAAATATACATTTAATAGTAGGTGTCTATATTTATGGGGTACATGAGATGTTTTGACAAAGGCATGCAAGGTGAAATAAGCAGACCATAGAGAATGGGCTATCCATCCCTTCAAGCATTTAACCTTTGAGTTGCAAATAATCCGTTTACACTCGAAGTTATTAAAAAATGTACGGTTGTGACTGTAGTCACCCTGTTGTGCTATCAAATAGTAGGTCTTATTTATTCTACTTTGTGTACCCCTTAACCATCGCTACCTGCCCCCCAAGCCCTCCACTACCCTTCCCAGTCTCTGGTAACCATCCTTCTATTCTCTGTCTCCATGAGTTCCATTGTTTTCATTTTTAGATCCCACAAATAAGTGAGAACATGTGATGTGTGTCTTTCTGTGCCTGGCTTATTTCACTGAACATAATAATTTCCAGTTCCATCCACGCCGTTGCAAATGACAAAAGTTCATTCTTCTTATGGCTGAATAGTGCTCCCTTGTGTATGTGTACGATGTTTTCTTCATTCTTCTGCTGATGGACACCGAGGTTGGAGATTGCTTCGAAGTCTTGGCTATTGTGAACAGTGCCACAGTGCAGCTCTGTCTGCGATGATTAATTTCCTTTCTTGTAGGTATGTACTCAGCATGGGGCTGCTGGAGCCATGGTAGCTCAATTTTTAGTTTTTTGAGGAACAACCTCCAAAATGTTCTCCATAGTGGCTATACTAATTTACATTCCCACCAACAGTGTACAGAGATTCCCTTTTCTCCGGGTCAAGTTCTTAGTGGCTGCAAAGTAATAAGCAATGTATTTGGTGCTTCAGATAAACACGAAAAAGCAAAACTCAAAACACACGTAGGCCTTATATGCAAGGAACTCATAGCTTTAAAGGCAAGATGGCAAACATGCAGAATAACAATATGGACCGTGTGGAAGTAAGTGCAGTCGTCATCAGCATGTGATGGAAGCAGGAATGGATCTGAGATGGGGCAAAGGCAAAGGGTGGGCAGAGCTCTGTATTAGTTCCCATTGCCGCTGCCACAGATCACCATGCATTTCATGGCTTAAAACAACAAGAAATGGACCTAACAGGTGTCTTCTTAGACTCAGATCAAGGTGCTAGCACAACTGCATCCCTTCTGGAAGCTCTAGGGAAAAACCTGCTTCCTGGTCTTTCCTGGCTTCTGGAGGCCACCTGCCTTCCTTGGCTGATGGTCCCTCCCATCTCCAAGGCAAACAATGGCTCTGGGGCCCTTCTTGTGTCTCTTCACTCTGACACTGACTCTTCTGCCTCTTGCTTTCCTGTTTAAGCACTCTTGTGATTACACTGAGCCCACCTGGATAATCCGGAATAATTTTTATATTAAGGTTAGCCAATTAGCAACCCTAATTCCCCTTTGCCATGTAACATAACGTATTCACAGGTCCAGGGAATTAGAACACGGACATCTTCGCAGGACATTGTTCTGCTCACCATCTTTGCAGGATTTCCCAGACTCTGTCCCTTGGCCACCAAGCCTCCAGACACTTGGGAACACTGCATATTCACTTCTGTGCTGTGTTGGTTTTAAACTAGGCCTGCAAATTCTTTGATACTCCTTTCATACTCTTTCCTTCAAGAGGAACCCAGTTCCTCTCCCCTTAAGTGTGGGCTGGACAGAGTGACTTGCTTCTGATGGATGGAACATGGCGAAAGAGATGTGTATTCTGAGGTTAAGTCATAGATGTGGTGGCTTCCATCTCGCTCTCTCCTGGACACTCCTTCTGGGTGAAGCCAGCTGCCGTGTTGCAGGACACCCGAGCAATCATATAGGGTTGTCAACTTCAGCACAGCCGAAACCAAACTCCCCACTGCGTCCCCAAACCCTTCTCTGCCTGACTTGCTGACAGGAGTCCTTGTCCTTCCAGTTCTCTGACAGCTGGAGCACAGGCTGATCTCCGGCCAAAGGCTGGACCTCATCCCCCACAGGGCTTTCACCAGCCTGTCCACCTGGTGCCCTGGACAGGACGTTCCTGGAGGAAACCTGGAGTGCAGTGGGGCTCAGAGTCCGCTGCCCTGAGCAGCTGGCCCCAGAGCGCCTCTGGTTATTTTGAGGACTTCTGAGAATGTAGGTAAAGTACCTTTTGCAAAGCTTCCGCGTTTCACTTCGATCACTTCCTCTATGACATATTTTTAATGGCTTCTTAGGGCCTTTTCCTAAGAGACGAGGATGAAAAAAGAGGATGTGAGGTCCTTAAGGGCAGAGACTGTGTAGAATTCATCAATGATGCCCTGCCCCTGCCACTTGGTGGCTGTGTGGCTGCGTGGCTGTGTGGCTGTGGAGAGCATGCCCTTTTTCTGCCCTTGGCACCACGTTAATCATTAAAGCTTCACATCTTCTCGGCCTCCCATACATAGCAAATGAGCGACCAGGTCCCATGGAGTCTTTAACCACTTCAAATGCTTTTTCCTGAATTCCCCCCTCTCCCATACACACTCTAATCCAAGCTCTTCGTGTCTGGGTCCTGAGCTGTATCCAGTAGCTTCTGACCCAGTCCCCTCGACTCCAGGAGTTTGTTCTCACAGCCTGGAACCCCTTGTCCAGGCCACTTCCAGAGATTTCCTCCCTCACTACTACTTTATGCTCCAACTCACCCTCTTGCTCAGACACCATCCCCACAGCCAATCACTTACAGGATTACAGACATAGCTTTTTAACCTGCTGTTCGAGGCCTTGCATTTCCGACATTAACTTATTTTTCACCTTTTCTCCCCCATTCCTATCTGTAAACACCACATTCTAGGGGCCCAAATGTGCCCTTCACATTCCCACGTCTTTGCCTTCGCCCCCTTCTTCTCTGAGCTCCAGGAAGCTCCCGTCATCCCCGTGCACTGCCCTCTGCTCTCACAGCTCCCCAGGGACCCAAGGACCAGGTCACTCGGCCATGCAGAGGTGTTTCCCACCTTACTTTCCAGCCTGCATATGCCTTTCCTCTCCATGCAGATGGCGGTTTCCAGAGGCAGAGCTTATGCTGTCTTCATCTTCATCCTCAGCATGGAGGTCAGAACCCTGCACTTGGCAGGGGCCGAGGAAGTATTTTTTGGTGGAACTTGTGCCGCCTAGCCTGAGGGATTCACATGATGGCCCTCCTGACCCACTCCTGCCCTCCTGGCTCTTGGCCTTGGGACTGTGGACGTGCCTGAGGGTCCCGGGTGCCAACAGGGGTCTTCTGTCACATGGAGCCCTCTGGGACTGAGCAGGTTTGGGGGAAATCCCAAAAAAATTCTCCTTACTATCCAGTTTCCATCCCAAATCATGTCTGGAAATACAGATCCATCACCATGTCTGTGCCAGGCTGGCTGACTTGATGAGTGAGGCTGCTTCCAGCCTATGTAGGTGCCAGTTTTAAGAACGGAAGCAAGGTCATCAGGGAACCCAAGCTGCCACGATCTGCTGAGGCGCTATCCTCCTTATGTAAATGATGCTGCAGCTCTAATTCAGCGCCGAGGACTGGTGGCAGTGATCTCTGCCATCCCCATCCCTTGACCTTTCCTAAGCTCCCTCATGCCCCAGTCCCACATCGCCCAACTCAGAAGAAGTCTTGGGAGATGGTCTGATCAGGCTCTCCCATTTACAGGCGAGGGGTCTGAGGTCCAGAGGCGTGAGCGAGGCGCCCTGTGCGGTGGTCAGGCCGAGACTGTAGCGCAGGTGATCTGACTCCTGGCCAGGCACTTGGCTCCCTCTGCCCTCTTGGGGCTGGCAGCACTTTCAAGGACAGGCAGGTGAGGCCGGGGGAGCTCAGAGGTCACAGCCAGCCGGATCTGGATGCAAATCGGTGGGTGCTGCAGACAAGTCACTTGGCCTCTCTGAGACTCAGCATTTTCCTCTAGAATGTGGGGGTGACGACATCTAATTAACAGGAGTGTTGTGAGAATTAAATGAGTATATATGGAGGAATTCGATTTTTTAAATCACTGCTGTGTTGACGGTAACCATGAAGTCAGAGTGGCCTTTCCAGGATCAAAGGCCTTCAATTCACAGACTGTTTCCTGACACATTGACTAACACTCGTCATGGCCAGGCCTGAAATGAAATGAATTTTTATCTACCTCAAAAAATAAACAAATGACCTACAGCTGTTTTGAGAGGAGGTAGGAAGTTAAACAATAGGAACATGTGAGTGGTGTGGGGGTCAGGACTGGCTGTTCCAGAGGACAGGGTGGGTCCCTTGTAACACAGCATCTCACTCCTGTCACCCTGGGGACCAGTGACAACAGAGTGAGGTGTACTTGGCTCGCCCCAGCCCTCCCACAGGTAACAGGTGCGGCAGCCCCAGGCCCTGACTCAGGCGTCATCAGAGAGATATGAGGGTGAGTCACCTGGGAGCAATTAAGAGGGGAGACTCAGGAGGAGGCCAGGCTGTGTCATCCACCCCTTCACTGCCAGGGCCCTGGCACAGTGCCCACTCACAGTGTCCCTTCTCCCAGGTCACAAGCTACAGGCCAGTCCAGAAGGTGGCTGAGGTTGGGCTCAGGCATCCAACCCTTCTGACTGGAGCCCAGATCCACCTTCTTAGACTCAGCATCTCTCAGGATCCCCTAATCCCATGGCAACGGGCTGCCTGCCCACCTTCCCAAGGGCTGCTACCCTGACTCCCCGCAGCCTAGTCTCAGCAAGCTGAAGCTGTCCTTTAAAAACATAAGTTAGAACATGTCACTCTTCAGCTCAGAACTTTCCAGAGTTTTCCCATTTTTCCCAGAGCACAATGCAAAGTCAATGGCTCACAGAGCTCTATAGGATCTGCCCTGCTGCCTTCCCCACTCCTAACCCTAGACAACATTTCACTCCTACTTTCTAGCCATGCTGGTTTCCCTGTTTTTCTTCAAACGCAACACAAATCCTCTTGCCTCAGGACCTCTGCACTTACAAATAACACCCCCACCCTCCCCCCACCATTAGAATTCCCAGTCCTCCAGCTGGCCA